TTAATTTATTGGTTAGTCTTACTAAACACACTATAGTGCTTTCATTGTTTTGTATTGCACAAATTGGAAACTGGATCTCGTCCAAACTTAACAAAGTGTTTTGGAGACGCTCGGTGCTCGGTATGCGGGTGTTTAATTGAACAGGTATGCATGTAAGATACAGTACAAGGTAAACTACCAGATGAAACGTTTACATTTTAATGAAATAGTATATGCGTGGTATTACGGAATTAAAAAAACATGAAGCGAATTAAAAAAAATTGAGATGATACAGGCCAAATGACAACCAGCTATTCCACATCAAATTAAAGAAAGAAAAAATACAAATAAAATAGAGAAGCACTTTTTGGAAGTCGATTAAAAACAAGTGATTTTATAGCAAAGTAACTATTGCTTAAAATCAACTTACGTATGCTTTTATCTTAAATATAAAGGCACAAATTTTGCCAGATCGTAGCGACTATTCATGACCTCTGTCTACCGCTTTTGGTGTTAGTCTATATGTCCAATGTTAACATAGTCTTAGTTGTCCAAATAAATACACATTGAGAAGAAAAGTATGAATATTATTCTGGTTTTAATATTTTTTTTATTATAATATAAGCCAAGGATATAAAACAACACCGACTTGTATTATAAAACAAAACACTTGCATCGCGCTAATGTGTTTTTGATGTCCTCTGTGACGTCACTGGAATAATATTATTTTTTACTCGTACATTATAAATTACGTGTAGTGTGTTTAAATATACTAAAAAATAAATAATAGGTTTTATTAAACGTAGCATGGTCAGTCAATTTCGGTCAACAGATGGCGCTAAAAATGAGCAGCATTTGATATTTAGTGCCATCTAGTGACCGATATTGACTATAAAAAACTAAGAAAATAGTCAATAAGTTAGTAGATCAAATAATTTGTTAGATTAGGTAGTTGCTAAAACAATATCAATTTTATGAAATACTGACATGAAAATGCCCTAAACTTGGTAAAGGTTAACTAAAAGTGACAAATACATTATAACAAATAATCTTTTTAAAGCATTTGTCCTTGATTTAACCTTGAGGCACTTAAGAAAAGTAACAAACACAATTAAACAACATGTCTTTTTAAAAACCTCAAATTAGTAATGCAGGGAAAAATAAAACTGTCTCAAGTACTTCCAATTCCATTGAAAGAATGATAAAAGGCTACGAAATTAGAGCGTATCATTAACAAAACAAATGATAAAGAATGCTATAAAACAAATTTGTTACGACTAATGAACGGAGAAGCAAAGAAAATGTATTAAAACCCCTTGTACACTATCGCTGGAGCGAACCGAAGGCGAAACTAATTTTAATATGAACCAGTTAAGGCAATAACTTTAGCACGAAATCAAATTTAACAAGAAATAAACTCTGCATCCATTGTGAAATCGTTTTTACGTTCTTCACGTGCTATAAATCAATATTCTAATAATCTTAGTGCGAAATTATATTATTGAATTCCATTTTATTGGTACGGTGTTGCAGGTGTTGTTATTATTAAGGTCGCTCTATAGAGACAGCAGCCAGATGCAGTTAAAGTACAAATGACCGACTAATATAATTTTATTAGCGGGGACAATGCTTGCTGGTTTAAGTCGTACGTGTGAGGCGAGCCTTAGTTTTCCAATATTTTCTAAAATAAAGTTGGTAGTTATAAATTCATTATCATTCTGATTTTTTAAACTTTCTCTTTGTGTACAGTGACTTACTTATTTATATCTGAAGGTCAAATCTTCGTATATTTAACATAAATATTAGTCATCTTCAACATCGTTCTGATTATAAATCTTATTAGCTTTCGCCCGCGACTCCGTCTGCGTGGAATTATATAGATTCAAAGATGAGTAGCCTATTAGTTCTTCTAGACTATCTACGTATGCCAAATTCAATCGAGATCCGGTTAGCTGTTTAGACAATACTCTAACAAAGATCCATCTAAACTTTCGCATTTATAATATTAGTAAGATATGAGGCTTAATCTGTTTCTTTTAAAACGATTTTGATTTTACATCAAAATATGGAAACAATTTCTTACCATGAGTTCAGACCTCGACTATTATCCTTAATCTTTTAATAACTGTCCTCGTATCGTCTTTCCCGTCATAAAGTGCTGTTTATATATCGAAGCAAAACAAGGTATCGCAGTTCACAGTCATTGTGGTGAGGTTCAACTGAGTGCACGTGATACAATATGAATACATCAATATTTCTTGTGTCTTTTGTAATAGTTACTGCTCACTGTAACAAAGATCGTAAGTATTTACTTCTAGCATAAAGTTATAGAATCTAATAGCTTCTAACTGCCAGTTTTTTTGAGTGAAATTAAAAAGTATGCCTGTGTGTTCTTCCAGTCTGTCATCCACATCTATGCCAAATTTCATCGAGATCCGTTCGCAGTTTAGGCTACAAACTCTACACACATCCATCTATACTTTAAAGTTTAGATGGATGTTTGTTAGCGTTTGTAGTCTAAACGACTGAACGGATCTCCATGAAATTTGGTACAGGTTTAAAGCATAGTCTGGAAGAATACATAGGCTATTTTTTATCCCGAGAATAGTTACGGTTCCTGTGGGATTCATTAATTTAGTTTTTTAATATTTACTCGATCATTCTGCAAGGGTACAACATATCTTATTGAAATTTGGCTCAGATATAAAACAAAGTCTAGAGTACACATGGGATAAGATTCAAGCCCGAGAAATGTCCGGTTCCCGAGGGATACGTAGCTTTTTGTCATTTATATAGTTCGTATGTTTTCTAATACCACGCGGACGAAGTCGCGGGTAACAGCTCGTTTATAATATTAGTAAGATTATTGTAATATCAATAAATATATACTAATTAACTTATAATAAGTAGTCTTAATTAATTTGTTTATGGTTCATTTAAAGGTAATTTATGTAGTTATCGGTGGCTTAGTGGTTTAAACACTTGACTTGTAATCTACAGGTCTTGGGTTCGAATCCCGCCGTACCAATGTGATTTTCGATTTATCGAATTTTCATATGTACATAATTTACCCGACTTTCTTACGGTGAAGGAAAACATCGTGATGCAACCTGCACATGTCGGCGAAGAAATTCAAAGAAATGTGTGAAGTCAACCAACCCGCAATGGGCCAGCGTGGTTGACTATGTCATAGTCACCCTTTAATTAGGGTAGGCTCCGAGCTTCTCAGTGGGGACGTAAATTGAGCTGGTGCTGAGATAAATATTAACACAAAAGCGAAGGACGTGTAATTTTGTTTATGATATTAATGTAAATATTTTAAACTACGAGATCTTATTAAAGCTACTGTTCTATTGTTTAGATTTAGCTAAATGTTACTCGTATTTGAAGCGGAGTAATGTTTGAATGTTTGACTAAAAGCTATTTCAAAATATCGCAATGTATAAATATACTCTGTGAAATTAAAAAAAAAAGATATAGCCTATGTTACTCAGAGACAATTTTCCTTTCTAATTGTTAACGATTTTTTGAAATCGGCCCAGTAATATTAAGTTATTTCAATACATGCAAAGATAAAAGTTTTTTTTTCTTTTTGTAATATTAGTATAGATTTGTAACTTGGCACATCTGTTTACTTTTTATAATCCATTGTTTCGAAACAAATGAGTGACGATAGATGACGTAATAATTTGGTTAATTAATATTCTATTGTAACAAAACACTGCCTACATTTGGCTTGCGATCTTAATAAGGCCAACAGATAAGGCCTAATTATTAATCTAACCACGTCCTAATATGTCTCCACTTTGTTATTTTCAAGACTTTGTATTTAATATTGGATTGACTGTGACGTCATTAATCAAAAATAAAGCACTGATTATACTAAGTACCGGGAAAGTACCAAGGCTGTAATGCGCATGTTTCGAAGTAAAGGTTAATCATATCATACTAATAATATAAATGCGAATGTTTATATGGATGGATGTTTGTTAGAGTTTTTAGCCTAAATGGCTGAACGGATTGCGATGAAATTTGGTACAGATGTAGAGGATAGTCTGGAAGAACGCATAGGCTACTCATTTTTGTTTTTTTTTAATCCCACGTGGACGAAGCTAGAGTCTAATAGTGATTCATGGTTCATGTTTACTATTTAACTTATACATTTGTTTAGTTTCATAGAAACCAAAAATTAATAACAAAACACATGTTTACATTTCAGTCCGTGTTATCGACAATATAATGCAAGAATCTCCGTGCAGTTCGAAGGGTGGTATTTGTACTATAGCCGAAGATTGTCCCCAAGGGAAACTAACTGACGAATCGGGATTATGTCCGAAACAAAGAAATCAAGGAATTGAATGCTGCTATGGATGTAAGTAATAATAAAATTCTTTTTCGAATCACACCCAGAGCATGTACACACATGAAACTGAACTATCGCACAACTGTTTAGTCTAGCTTTGATTTCTATAAGCTTATATTAAGGTGCGCACACTACTCGATTGTTAGTTGCAACTAAGCAGTTGATTTGGCCGCGAAACAATCGACAATAGCACAACAGTTGTGCTATAGTTTAGTCAAAGGTGTGCTTCCACTCTAATTGATAGACTCATTGTATTGTTCTTTAAAATAATTTGATATGTATGTCAGTCTATAATATGAAACGCAGAGAGTTGTAAAATTTAATTTTTTTGGTGTAGAAGGAACCATAGTTTTAAAACTACTGCAAACTAATAGATATAATTTCACTAATAGAATCCTAGAGTACCTACTAGATTAGTAAGATAAGGTACTACTGTCACTGGCCATTTGCTCATTTATTATTTTTTTCTTTTTTTTGCAGTGTCAGTAAAAGATACGAGATGTTCTCGGCATGGAGGCGTTTGTTTACCAGCTACGGAATTCTGTAACCCTAAACTGATTTATAGAGAAGCTAGCGACTGCGATTCCAGTCATAAATGTTGTATAATGGTTTAATTTTTTTTTACGTTAATTACATCGAATGTTTGAAAAGATTCTATACAACTTAGAATACAGTTTGTAACTTGTATTGGGAAGGAAAATTTCGAAATAATCCTGTATTTGACTCACAAAAACTCTCCTTGTTGGTCAACGTACAATGCAATAGAAGAGGGTTCCTGGATATGGATGCATATTTGAACCCTCATCACAGAAACAAAGGAACATCAAGATCAATTTGATGGAATATCAGGACCACTGGTATTGTCCAATTGCTCCAAAATATGTAAGGTTACCTACTATTTGAAATGTTTATTGGTCATTGTTTATTGATTTTTGTATACAATTTCGGCGAATCTTTGTCATAAGAAATTATTGAAATGTCAATTAGAATCTTTGTACTTAAATAAACATGAATACTACAAAACACTGAATAACAAAAAAAATCTGAATTTGTTACTATTAGACGTGAATTATCAGTTTTCTAAGATTAAATCTTTCTTAAAATATTTCACTATGTATATATTTCATTTCATGCTGTAATAACCTTACATTACCATGTGTGCGAAATACTGCACTGCAGTTCAGTAGATTCATTTATCACTCAGAAACGTCAGTACGTACGATCTCTCCTTGATACGAGTATATCTTGTATGACTATGCGATGTTCATCGCCTAACAGAATATCGATTTAAATATGCGAATGTAAGGAGACATTACAACAAAATGTCCCTCTCTCTCTCTCTCTCTCTCTCACTCACTCTCCCCAACTAATTCTCTCCGGAGATAACCATACGTCTTTGGATTATTGTTTCTGTGGTTAAGGAAAGTCACATTGTTGTTACTAGAGCATTACTGGTTTTTAAGTTCTTTAAAAAGGTTATCAGCTTGTTCTTGTAATATAATTCCACGAAGTAAAGGTTAAAAAGATAACAAAGAGAGGAAAACAAATAATATCATCTTATTATGTTCTTACTTCATCAACATAGTTAAATTAATTTAAACAGGAAGACAAAATTAACATATACAATTTTCGTATAGTGGAAACGCCACCTTGATCCTTCTGACCTTAATCCAGAAAATAAAAACGTATCAGAATTTAATTTGTAACAATAGAAAGAATTTATTTCAATTAGACATTTCGAAATGTTAACGTGGATCAGCGATACAATAAAATAAGAAAATAAACAAAGATAAATGGCGTTGAAAGTCTAGCGTTAATTAAATCCTGCGAAGACAGGCTCGATACGGTTAGCGTTCTGCAGATGTTTCAACTTTAATCCACGATATATTTGGTTCATTTTCAATGATCCGGCTCGAAGGACCACTGAATTATAAGAAGAAAACAAGAAACGAAAATACCATCTCACTATTAAGTGTCAAAAGAAGAAAGAATATAATTTTTTAAATGAGTAGGGGTTGAATAGATGGGGAAAAGGTAGTTGAGTGAGGCGATTAGACGACAACCCAATAACGCAATCAGATATTCCATGCCTATGGGAGGTTGACACAGAGACGACGGGGATACCCGACTCTGCGGGGGGTTCCGTTTTCCCTTAAATGTTGAGATTTTTAATAGATCAATTCTTTCTCATGTGATGTCGTAACCAAAAGAAACATTATAACAGAATATGATTCTCCATTACTGTTATAACAGTATTCTAACCTAAAAGTCAAGTATTGGAGTCGATAAGTGAACACTTGAGTATTATAATATTATCTCACCTTAACAGGTTCGAAGCGTTCTCACAAATAGAAAGTTGGCCCCAAACCAACTGTAATAATAGATCGTATGATGCCCGTTTCTATCTAAAGAGCACTCCAACAGAAATTCTTCCTTAAGGACTTTTCTTATAACTCCAATAGTTATTTCAAAATACGTCGGATCTTTTTTATAATCAATTTCACATCTTACTTCTTACTAAAATTATAAATGCAAAAGATTAGATGGATGGATGTTTGTTAGAGTTTTTGGGGAAACTGCTAAACGGATCTTGATAAAATTTGGCGTAGATAAGTGGATGGTCTGGAACAACACACAGGCTACTTACTTTTGTTTATTTTAATTCCACGCAGAAGCAAATGCGCCATGTTCTGGAAAAGGTTTAGTCCTCTAAATAAATGTTAAAAGCATAAATTACTAATATCTTTCTAGGCGTCTCTTTCTCTGTCGATTAAAGTTAGGCTGCTTTATTAAAGTAAGGATTTCCATATTGTTATACTAAAACAAATGACATGAATAACAAGTTGCAAGAAACGTTAAAAACTTTTACTTTTATTGTTATTGCCGGAAAAAGAAAAACTTTATCTCGAACCTAAACTCGTTCTTGACAATTAAAAATACGCTTTAGATAATGTTGCGAGCCGGCAACAAAAACTTGTTAAATTGTGCCGGCAAACAGTAATTTATCGTCTGAACAGAAATAAAGTCTTATCGTGAACCGTTTGTTTTCAACAGACCTAAAGATTTCGCGGAGAAAAAAACAAAGGTCTTTGCGTTCCCCCTAATGAATTTATAATCTTAGATACTAGCAATCCGTCTCTACTTCGTAAATAAAGTTACAATTTAACATTTGTTTTAATAATTATTTTCATATCAATTATACGTTAAAGAATCATATAATATAGTCTAGAAGTTATAAGTGAAAAATAGTCAGGTCAGTATATTAAAAAATCTTCAATATTTTGTTAATAACTTCAAAGGTTGTTGAAAAATTGAACTTCCGATAAAGTATTTGTAAACCACTCCAATCTGTTCTTGCCTCTTCAAACACATCAGGTGATTGCATTAAGTGATTATTTCTCAAAAGCTTCAGTAATTTCATGATGCCATACTCCGTTTGTGTGATACAGCTATGGTAAAATTTTTATATCACCAGAATAAAGTGGAGGAATTCTGTGTTTTAGGTAATGATAAAAAAATTATAATGGATAGTCCTCCACACTCGAAAGACTCTGAATGTTGCAGTCCGTCTTATAGGTAGACAACGATAAGTCGCAGTTATTACAAAGACTGGCCTAATCAGTAATATAAAAAAATTGAAGAATTCTAGTATTATTTTTGGCAGTTGCACAGTCTTTGAATTTTGCTCGCTGGTTTCCTTATATAGATTATGAATGTGTAGGTAAATATAGTATTAAGAACCACTTAATCTGATAGATGCAAACATCAGTTGAGACATGGTTATTGTATAATCCTCTGATATCATATACCGTCACGTCTCGCTGGATTATTCAAAAGGCAACGCTAAAGGATTTACTATAGAACCGAATTACTTAGTAGCATACATAACTACGAAACAAACATGAACATTTATGTAATTATTTATATCTTGTCTATAATCAGGTGATTTCTGACGTCATTTGTCACAGTCACGATTTATTTCGCGGCTTGTTCCAATATTAATTTCAGTATTACCATAATTATAGTTCTTATCATCACATGCAATCATCTATTCCATTTGTTCATCGTTTTATGTTTTGATTTTCATCATCGTTACATCAGCCTCTTCACTCTAACCTCTTCACTTTCATTTCTTACTTTATAACTGGAGTAACGCTGCGAGTCGAAGTTGACCTTGTCAAGTCTCTGCGTTCTTCGTTCCTATGCCCTCTGAACTCAGTGTAAGAACTTTTTTCTTTATTTCATTTGTCACTTTAATTGCGTTTGCCCTTTTTTAAGTTTAATTTCTTCAAATTAAGTTAAATCTTAATTTAACATGGGAAATATTTACACTTATAACACTATTATAAGTGAATTCGTTACAAAGATCTCAAAGTTTGTGAAACGTTGTTACAAAAGTTCGATTGAAAGGCGCCCGACGTGCTCTCAGGTGAGGTAATTTAGTTTGCGGTCGGACAACTAAAACTCTTTTATCTCATGTCTTCGACTCTTATATTATTTTCGTAGAAATTATTTTAACATTTTCAAAGCCATTGTTTTAAATGCATGAAAATAAACTTACCAGATGACTCAATGACTTTTAAAATGACAGTAAATATTGCAGCACAGTGTCATATCACGTTAAACAGTAGCTAAGTCTAGACTTTCTCGGATTAAATCTAAATTTAGCGGCCAATTGCTTACTTAACTCTAACTGAGGTAAATACTTATACAAAGTTAGTGGAGACATCACCACCACGAAAGTAGGTTGTACTAAATATAATTATATAAGTAAATATAAGTACCTTCTATTCTCCTCATAGTATTCGTGGCAAACAGTTTGATTAAAGAAAGTGGAAAACTGAATCGCAATTGAATTCTTGAAGCTGAGTTTCTGCATGAAGTTAAAGAGTGCGAATTCACGGGGAAGAAAAGGCTGAAAGTTTTTTAAATATGAATAGATTCTCTCTCGACTCGAACTAATTATTTCCAACAAAAAACTTTGCTTCGTTTTAACGTTTTTAAAGGTAAATGGAGGAAAGGAGAGTTAAAAAAATAATAAGCTCTATTTTACACAAACAAGAAAATAATACAATATTCATGCAAGATAGGTTACTACTGGCCATTTGATAATCTTAACCAGATTTATACATTTTTATTGATAACAAGAACATCAAGTAGTCGAATCAGACAAATGACGCTCTTCAAAAATCTCTTTAGGCCTAATTATAATCCCTTTCCCTTCGCACGATTTTCTTCAGAGGAAAGGATGGGAAGGAAAAGTGGATTTGATAGTGGAGAAGTAGAAATATCCTTTTTATGTGCGTCTCTTCCTCCGTCGTTTAGGGGTAGGCAACGCATCTGCAATTGCTGATGTCTATGGACAATGGTCGCTTCGTCATTTCGGCGGTTTCAGGTGGCCTCTTGCTTGTTTGCCACCTCATAATATATACATAAAAAAGAACCAGTATCTATACTAATGAGAGCGCGTATACCTTTGACTAAACTATCGCACAACTATTTAGTCGCGCTTTGATGTCTATGAGCTGATATGGAGGTGCGCACACTACTCGATTTTTAGTGGTGCAACTAAACAATTGAATGGGCTGCGAAACAATCGACAATCGCACAACCATTACCCAAAGGCCAGAAACCCATCTGTGTCAGGTGTTGCAGATGTCCATGGGCGTCGTTGCTCATCTTGGTGTTTCCACTACTCTAAAAAAGTTTGT